CCTAGCGAACACACTGAAAATAAAAGGTCTCCAGTTTTGTCATCTAACCAAGTGTCGTCATCCAAAATGATGTCTACACAAAACCGTAGACTTCCGAGCAAGAAGGACTAACAGAATCAACGTAGCCTGACTGCTGTGTTCAAAGCAAACTTGAGAAAAACGAAGTATGCAACCATGGCTTAAATCCACTATAGCCTGAGTACTAGTTTACCTTATATGTGCACTTTATAATGTTATATTGCTCTGTTTTGATTCCATAAAAAGAGCTGTTAAAGCAGCTGTTGTGTGACAAAATATTTTTTTCACTGTTGTTGATGGACAATAATATTGTGTGAGAGATTATGTAGGAATAACTGCTCCAAGTGAAAAATGTTCATGTAAAATTGAAAATCGAAATTGTTATTTCAGTAAATATTTGCATTTTGCACATAGAAAACTGATTCATGATTCCATGTTGATGAGAGCATTAAAATGAGGAAAAATAGGACAAAAGAATATAAAAGGAAATTCAGAAACGATAAAAATGCATGAGTAATCACGATTAATTTTCTAGTGAATTTGAGTTAATTATGACAGTTGCATTTTTAATTTGATTAAATACTTTAATCGTTTGACAGCTCTAATATATACACATAACACGGGGTAGGACTAGATAAGTTTCTTACTTCATCCTACTCCCTTGAACATAATAACTGTTGAATGATGACTGATTTCTCTTTCCTTTTTACTATTTTACTTACCTTACTTTCTGTCAAATTATTACTGTATATGTTTTATGTTCAATAAACAAACGAAACAAAACGAAACGAAAAGGCTCTCTGTTTTTTCCATCAGCGTTTTGGCGCCAAGGCCCGGCGCTGTGTTCTCACCTGCAACTACAAGGCCCTGGGAAACGCCGGCGTTCAGAGGCCGCCGTGGACGCCGGCAACAAAGCTTCCTGGCCTCGGGTAGAGGACCCGAGCTGAATGAGGGATGGACACCCCCCGAGGGGTGAGACGAGGATTTTTTTTTTTTTTTTATATATAATGTCTGTGTGTGTGTGTGTGTGTGTGTGTTTTATTTTTTACGGAATTACACAATGCTGCACAGAATAAAAGCAATTCATTTCTCAGAAAAACTATACATTATAGTCCAACCTGGTACTTGAGATCTTCTTTAGGCGGAAATCCAAAATATTTCTCAGTGAGAGCTGAGCCTGTAAAAGATAAAAAGGAAAACTGCTATTTGGGATGTATTGTGAGCAGGAGTATTATTCCTGATGGTATATTTTCTTCTTCCTTCATGAATTCATCTCGAGCAGACTCACGGACACAGAAACAATTATCCGTTGATGATTAATAATGCTTCTTTATTCATCCATTTTCAACACCGCTTATCCTGAAAGGGGTCGCGAGGAGTTGCTGGAGCCAATCCCAGCTGACGTCGAGCAGAAGGCAGACTACAACCTGAACTGGTCGCCAGCCAGTCGCACATAGAGAGACAAACAACCATTCACACGCACATCCACACTGTCACTGACTGGGAACTGATCTCACGCCGCCCGCACACAAGTCAGACGAGTGAGTGTACCATGACACAATCAGCGACCATGCCTCTTTATATATATTTAAATGACATGACTGGGGGACTGGCTGGACTGTAAAATCGTAATATATGGCATCTATTGTACGTAAGAAAGTAATATTAATCCTTTCATGCACTCTGTAACCTGATAACATGATAAGCTGCCCACTGTAGTAACCGCTGTCCCTAAAAGGGTTCATCATGATCATTTCATCCCCTGTGTAAGCCTTGAAATCCTACCATGAAATCTCCAGTTTGCGATCGGAGCGACTGCTATGCCGCAGCTGAAAGTTGAGCTGTGGGAGAGTAATAGGATTGACGTAAGAAAGCCCCCATATGCCTGAAAAGGACAATACCAAAAATATTAATAGTACACATTATCATTTGTATGGAGCACCTTAATGAGAAATGAAAAAAGAAACTGTACTCCAGTGGACCGCCACAATTTGCAGGGGATCGGGAATGGGCCTGATCGCGAGTATTTCCGTGAAAAGTCGATGCGCTCCTGAGGGTGATTGTGTTTGCCTATATCAATAGTTTCAATCATAAATGTAACAGTTTTCAAATGATGATGAAGATAATTAATTTGTGGAGCAGAGCTGCACGGTGTAAACAATGAACATTCGCCTGAACAGCAAAGTGCAGGAGTCACATTGATGGCGCTAATGCTACGGGGACAGTCTATCGTAGTGGGAAAGTCTGCTGTTTAGTAACTAACATAGCAGTTGACGTTTATCCAAAAAAACTGGATCCATGTTATGACAACACCAGCTAACTGTACTGCGAAGTTCCGCCAAGCTGTTGTGACGGAATCCACTGGTCTTGTTGGTGTATATTGTCCTAGTTTCACATAACTATCGCTAGCCAAAGTCAACATGTCACTGTGACAGGATCTCTCTCTTGCTGACTGTCAATTACAAATCCGACACAGCCTGATTTTAGATTGCAATTAGATGAGCAGGTGTGTGAAGGCAGAACATTTTTCTGTGGATACTTGGAGGATAGTTTCCCAAAACCTAACCTTCGAATAGCTGAATTTGCGAATGCCAAACTGCAAATATGCAGCGGTCCACTGTACACATATTTGTGGATTACCTTTCCATAAACTGCAACTTTATTCCCATCGATATATGGGAGCTTGATGAGGTGTCTGAGGGCATAGCAGGAAACATAGCTAAGTATGATTTTTCAAATCTGCTATGTAATAAAGTACAGTAATTTCTACACTATAAGGCGCTTCTTCAATGAATGGCCCATTTTAAAACTGTTTTCATATTTAGGGCGCACTGCATTATAAGGCACATAGAATAGAAGTTACAATAGTAGCTGTGATTGCGCTATGCATTCACTAGATGGTGTTACGTTAAAGGGAATACAATACAATTCAATACAGCTTTATTTATTTAGCGCCAAGGCATGCAGAACTGGTCACAAACACGGACATGAAACATATAAATACAAATGGCATTACACAACAATAAATGAAAGACAAAAGTTATGACAATTGATTCAACAAAAAGGCACGCAAACCTCGTGGGCTCACATCCCCAAGGGTCTAAATATCCTCAGAAGTCTTGCTTATCTCCTTCTTCCTTCGTTTAGTCAGTAATTAACTATGATTTTGGAATTACAGTCAACCTCGGTTTTCAAACGTCTCGATTCTCGACCAATTCGGTTTTCGACCAAAATTTTCGATTTTTTTTATGCCTCGGATATTGAACAAATTTCGGTTCTCGAACAAACTGAGCGCACTTGAATGCACCATTTGACTCCTCTTGCCTTCCTTACACGAGGAAGTGACGCTTCCTCGGGTAGACGAGGAAGTGACGCTTTCTCGTGTTGCTTTCCATTGTGAGCAGACGTGTTCAGTAAACATTTTTATTTTAAAAAGAGCGTGGTTTCGGTTTTCGAACAATTTCGGTTTTCGAACAGCCTTCTGGAACGGATTATGGACGAAAACCGAGGTTTGACTGTGTCTTCGTTTCATGATGGCTAAGCATAGCTCACAAAGTAGTTGTCTGTAGTTGTGTGTTGGTGAATGCACATGTCAATTAGTGTCGGGCAGAACCGTTTTAGGTTACATTTGGTTCCTGCTAATAATCACCACGAGATGGCAAAGGAACACTAACGGAAACAACTCAATTGGGAATATCAAGAGAGTTATTGTGTTTTTATATTAAGCGCATCGGATTATAGGGCGCACTGTCGGCTTTTGAGAAAATTGAATGATTTTAGGTGTGCCTTATAGTGGAGAAGATGCAGTTGTTTTTATATGATTAAATCAATTAATAAAATAAACAATTGTTTGTTTGTTTTGTTGACATGTTGGCATTCAGTCTGGCAATCTGCATCTTTAAACAGTATTTCAAGACAATGTGATTGGCTTGGAATACATATTTAATGTCTGCAGTACTGCTCAGGCCTGCCAGTAAATATACAGGCACAACATTCTTTATTTGAATTGGTGTCTCACTGCACACCTGTCGTTTCTTGACGACAGAGCTTGTTGGTTGAAGTTGACATACATGGTGCCAACCATCTTAAGAGGGAAGAAACTGAACATTCGTTCTATACAGTAGATTATTAAATCACTCAACTGAGATCTACAATTAATTTGTAATTAATTATTTATGATTGACTTCCAAGACAGAAAAATAAGAATCAGAAATAGCTGTATTATCGACCGCACTTGGCCCTACTGATGGAATATATACAAATAATAAAAACCCAACAAACCCACTCTACAATTGCGATCTGATCTGCAACATCAACAGTGCCCAGTTGCTGGTGGACTTCATGCAGGACCCTCTGCCCCTGGAAGCTGCTACCTCGACCGTCCAGACGAGCCACAATGATGTTTTCTGAACTGACAAGCACTGAATCCCAATTCATGCTGAATCGGTCACTCACAGTCTGACCACCGGGGGTGCTGCGGCTACAAAAGCATAACGTTACATCTCAATGGAAATGTCTTTCGAATCTGAATTTTTCTCAATTTTCATTTCGAGGAATCTTTCAGAGGAGCAAATCAACAAATTATATTTGAATGTCCATATTTACACCTTACAGAATAATGAGAAGTGGATGCTCATATGTTTCATCAAAATCGTTAGGGACGGTTAACTCCACATGAAGAGCTGCAAAGAAGGGAAAACAGCAAAGTCATATAATTTTACTCAGTGGATGTGTGATTTGCCCGCAAACACTGCTTAACTTACGTGCAATCGCTTGCATTTCTATCCTGTTTATTGCATCGGCAGTCAAAACGGCACGCGAATAAATCAATTGGCTATCGACTCAACATAGACAAATTGCAAGTTATTTTTACGTTGCACGATGAACAAATCGAACTGTGATTCCAGACGGTCTGGGTCTGACACTATCACGTCTGCTGCTGTCCATGTAATCATGGATAATTTATGAATTTTAGTTTATTGAAGCCCAAAAGAGTCAAACTTAAAGAAATGAAAACAACAGTCAGAAATAAATTACATATGGATACAAAGAACACAAATACATATGTTAAATTAAGAAATATATTAATACTATTCTGTAATATCTTATTATAATTTTATTCGAATCAAATATGTCATCATGATTGCTTTAACCCTTTCAGGGACAGAAGTTACTTCAGTGCATGAAAGAGTTAACAGTGTCATATATATATATATACACAGTATGAATGTATTTTATTTCATGATGTCCCTTTCCACAATGTCTTTTTTTTTTGCTTTTTTTCCAAATAACGTGATCATTCAAATGACCTGAGACTGAGCCAAGCTAAGTGAGTGGCTGATCCTTGACACAGACATGAGCAACAGCATTTGCATTATCGAAGGGTGGAGACTCATCACGAATGCTGCTGAGACACCTGAGAGCCACGAGACCGAATGGCTACGGCAGAGAAGTCGGTCTCAGAGTCATTACGAGAACTAACGTAAAGCCTTTCTCTCAGCCTGAGAGAACTGCAGCAGCAGAGTGTATTTTTGATGATTTGGGCTCTGGAAGAGACCAAATGCTAACGCTGCTGACCACACCCTGAGGTCCAAAGCACTAACGTTGATTGACATACCTCGTTATTTTCATTTAAAATAAAATGATGACATGAAATAAAAAGAGCCATTGTGGAAAAAGACATTATGAATTAAAAATTGACTTTGTAAAACACTTGTATTTTCTAAAATCTTGGGAAAAAAGTAATTATTTAGTATGACTCTGTTAGAATAGACGTTATGGAATATTTAATAATGATACAATTATAATGATTAGACATATTTCAGAACAATATTTCCTTATTTTACCCTTCAAAGGCCATCTATATTTGCCTTTTTATTTCTTTAATTGGAACTCTTTTGTGCTTCACTATTAGTTACGTCTGTTATTTTAGACGCATTTTAATTGGACCTTTTCTTTTTGTTTTTAAATCCTTGACAGTATGGTGTTATAAGTGAAGTAAGAATTGGTGTATGTTTGTCACAAGATAAATAAGAAAAACAAAACAAAACATCAGACTCTAGTTAGATTGACGAATTATTGATGACAATGTCTCAAACTATAGAGTAAGGTGGCCAGATGGTGAGTCCTTTCCCCAATAAGGCTGCAAATGCGCTGAAATGCATGTTTGCACTGAGGATTGAGAGGAAAAAATTTCATCTGTGCTGCATGTCATACATAAAGCATATTTGACAATAAAGATGACCTTGACCTTGAAACCTGTGGTACCAGGAAGTGAATTTGAAATATTTGTATTTAAATTAGAATCGCTCAACTTCAATAAACGCATTGAAAAACGGGAATTTTGACGACATACAGTGAATTTGTATTCAGTTCAGTTTGAACAATTGCATTGAAAAACTGAATCTGTATTTGTCCAATTTCTATTTGATTCTATTAGTTCAGAAGCGAAGTCCAATAAACTTGACAGACAGAATAAAAATTATTTAAAAAAACAATTAAAAATAAATGAGCTGTGTTACAGTCTCTCTGAAACTGTATTTGACCCTCACTGAAAATGTAACTCAATATACAGTATATTCACGATCAGTTCTCTAAGTTCAGATTCAAATTAGTTGTGCCAGACATCCAGATAATTTAGAAATAGCAGTCGATCAATCACAGATATCTCCACTTTGGCCATTCAACACTTTTTGTTTTTTTTAAGCATCAAATCTCCTAAGCAGCTTCTAATGCAGACAATTCGCATGCAACGTGTACTTTCAACACATGGGTATATTATTGTGATCATACCAACATTGTCGATTTCTACAGTGCGTCTTTCTCGCTTTGGTAATTTTCGGTTGGCCAGAGAATGTTGGAATACCGTGTTCTTCTCCAGAGTCGTGTAGTCTGTTGGTGACAATTGCAGGTAAACAGTTGGATAGAGCGAAAGACAAAGACAGGTGTGGTGCAAATAAAGCATTAAGTCGATTAAAAGTTGCTCAAGTCATATATTTTCAAGTAATACGTACTGCACAAGAGGCAAGCTCCGGCCCACTGCTTCACCAAAAGTCGAGGGACACCCTGAACCGGTTGCCAGCCAATCGCAGGGCACACCGAACAACCAACCATCCACACTAACACTCACACCTCGGGACAATTTTAGAGTGTTCAATCAGCCTGCCATGCATGTTTTTGGAATGTGGGAGGAAACCGGAGTACCCGGAGAAAACCCACGCAGGCCCGGGGAGAACATGCAAACTCATGTACCTATGCACTATGAGGTCGACGTGCTGAACACTGGACCACCGGGCCGCCAGGACAATGTATCCAAGTGCTCTAATTTTCTCGATGCTTCATGTTCATGCCTCGTACTTTCTTGCCGCGCTTTTTTTTTTTTGTTCCATGTAAGTAGTATTTTTATTGATAATTATCGTCTCGGTTTGTATTATATGCGCTTTGGGTGTTCTTGTCCTATGACAAGCATAATTATTTTATATTTGTCCTTGCATTTGCAAGCGTTTTTGGGTCATCTTGTGATTTCCTAATTAATTGGGACCAGCGTCCTTTGTTGTACTTTGTGGGTCTTGCGCATTTTTTGGAACTATAAAACTTTTTTTTTTTTTTGTCAATCCTTATCTGGGTCTATGTTTTGAAGATTCAAATTCTGTCCGGAGAACTCCAGACTACCTTGACAGCACTACCTTGTTACCTTACCTTGTATTAAAAAACAGATTGAATTAACACTGAACGATTTTTAACTTTTTTACAGGATTGTATTGTTTTTAAATTTGTGCCTCTCCCCGGGGACCAATCTCACCCTTTCTATGAAACCTCTAGATGTGATAATGAATTTCAGCACAATGAATTAGTATTACAGCGCAAACGTCACTTTTTGACAGTCATCTGTTCACAAGTTCTACAATTGAGCTTCCGTCACTTCTCACTTGATAGGCAAGCGGACTGAATAATTTTTTTCCAAACAAGCAACAAGTACATTTTCCATAGTCTGGCGCCTTTCTGTACCTCCCAATGAAGACTGCATCTAGTATGCAAACTTAAGTCTTAAACCCGGTGTCAAAAGCATGAAAGGAACGGAAATTCCCGAACAATTTATAGGTTCCTTTTCCTGCCTGATTTCTTACCTTCCATTTTATTTAATCTGTGCAGCGTCGTTTGGGGTATTCCAGGGCCTGGGGAAATTAAAAAAAGAATAGGAAAATGGTCACTTGTGGAATTCAATAAACTCAAGTGAGCATTATTGAGCTACATTATGAAAACCTTGAATTATTTCCCTTCAGTGTGGCTTTGTAAAACTGACCGACTGTAAGAGTGTGGAGCTTGTATTCATTTCCAGTTCACACAGTCAGGTACTCAAATGAGCACACTATTAAGAATAAGGCCTATCAATATAATGGATGTATGTTGTAAAGTAGGAGACAGATGTGAATGGAGTCAAAAGGCTTTTCGAAATGTTTCAGTCCCCAGCACCTGACTTTGGCAAAAGGAGGGAGAGGATCGATACAAACGGTCATTAATTTTTGGCCTGCCCAGTTCCCAATCAGGAAAATGCCATTTGTACCCCACCTACTCCCGAAGGGATGGTTAGTTGTCCCAAGGCTTCAAGACATTGGACTGGTTGCTGGAGAGACACAATTTGCCTCACGATTTATCAGTCCCATGGGCCATCAGGTTCTTGTCAATATTTTGTGATTCTGTTGCCGTTGATGAAAGTACTGTATTACTTTGGATTGGAATACAGCAGGCATAAAGTCAAATATGTCAACATTTAAGCCAGTTGATACTAACTACTGCCCATAATAAAGATGGTGATGGGACAAGTCAGACTACTGAAAATGTAGTCCCTGATAGGTGAATAGACATGCTGTTGAACTTGTGGTGTGTTAGTTATGTCAGGTGACATGTTTGTGACACATGAAAAAAAGAAATTGCAGACAGAATACAAAGAATTCTGAAGACATACCTCTACATTTGAGAAGGACATGCTGATAGTTTGTGCTGAGCACTGCATCATAGTACGTGCATTGTGACTTGAAGAGGTCGCAAGTGAGGCATTCTTTATGGAACGGCTCCACGGCGAAGACCCTTGTTAAGAAGAATGGCATACGGGTGTGAATACTGTACTTTCTACTGGACATTATATTCAAGTGAGGCAGGGGTCACCAGCATGGTGCCCGCGGACCTCATGATTAGCCCGTGGCCTCTTCTAAAAATGGCTCACCAGTGATGTGACATTGTCATTTCCTCGGACTGTTGGAGAAGTGATCATTTGAAATGTAACCACTTGCAGACATCATATAAGTAAAATGCTGCATGGAAATATTTGTTTCCTACATTGGTTTAATTGTTGTTTGAAAATATTAACATGATCGGCGTTTTCACATGGGTGAATATCATTATCCGATAATAACATCATTTGTGCAAATTTGTAATATTAGGAGGTTGTATAAAAGTGACAGCCCTTTGCATTAATCAGGACCCAAGAGGTAGCTCTCAGTTTCAAAAAAGTTGGTGAGCGCTGATGAAAGGTATCAGCAACTAACACAACTATAAATGCAAACAAACACTGCTCAGAAAGCTAGGGATACTCGACTTTCCATTGAAATCTTTTGATGGCACGTCAGAGTCTACAATGTTCCAGTAGTTTTTGCACAACTTTTTGCTCTTTAACAAGAGGTATACTCCATGTATCAATGAATGAACTCCCAAGGACATCCACTTCCGGTAGGACGTCTTCAGTTGCACTTCATTTGCCCCGTCAGTTTGCTCCGTCAAAACATCCTATTCACAAAAGCTATTGCGCTCATGACATACCAGCACAAACAAGCACAAACAAGCCCACAAACTTTGACAGCTGAATGCAGTTTGCCACTAATTTCCCCCTGGATGCCAAAAGCCACGCATGGCAAAGTATAAATTCTGGCTTTGCAACAAGAACACTTTGGCAGATGTTGATGAAAGAGTTGTCCCACGCAAGCTTTAATTTAGGGCACCCCCTAACAGCCGTTTTTCATGGCAGGAATTGTTTTCCCTTCGTGGGGGGCGTTTTGGGTGGAAAATTTGGACATGTACACAGCATATCGTAGCATTGGCGCATGACCAGCAATGGATGCCCAGTCGACAAGGCATGATTAGCTTCTCTTCAACAGCGTGTGCCGATTAGCACTGGTGGTAGTAACTTAGACATTGTTTATCAATTAGGCTCATTTGCATTTAGGGGGGCAAATTCTCCCCAGATTACCTCATTTAAGTGTGTGCAAATACCACTCGCGAACTGAGACACATTCTGCTTGGCAGTGCAGTTAGTGAAACATTTCACCATCTGTCTGTTCTTTTTGAATTAGAAGCTGTTTGCTCCATTTTTTTACCGTTTAGTGCCACGCAAGCCTTTGGTGAAATTGGCTCAGTGTCTGCAACTGTTTCAAAGCACAAGATGTAAAAAGCTAAAATGTTTTTGGGTTTTTTTGCAGCAAAATTCTTGCAAAAAATAAAAAACAATCATAACAACTTGTGTGAAGTGAAAAACGAATATTTAAAGTTGAACCTGCTAATGTTGGTTCGAAACATGAAAGACAGCAGCATTTTGTGACCTAAATGCACATGTCCATAGTGGGGTCTCAGAATAATGGCCCCTCAAGTAAAATCTCTCAGTCGCAACACTGTGAAGACTGCAGTCATTACGAGTGTGGTGGGGAGTTAGTCACACATGAAGGGACTATATGCACACACCACTTTCGCATTTAGGCTTCAGAGGCATGCTAATAATGGGAAGCATATCTGGGATATACCATGAATGTAAAAACAATTTTTAATGTTTTTCACAAGACAGCGACGAACTGCAAGATGAGGATAAATGTTCCCTGGGACCTTTCTCATGGATCGGCTGGCATCGCCTCTCTACAGCTGGGTGCCTCGCATGGACCTAGAGGAGAGTGCGGCTTCGTGACTCACTTGGGAGCCGAGAAAGGAGAAACAAAGATAAAGTCACCCAGACTACCTGTGCAATCGTTAAACTGTTTCGTCGATTGTACAGTACAGACTTCAACTCTTTTTTTTTTTTTTTTCAGTGCCGGCTCACTGGTGTTCAAATGAAAAGCAGAACATGATTGTGGCCACAACACAGAGTTGGCTTGAAGAGCTATTCCTTATTCTTTTCATCAGGCTATTGAATAGACAGACCTGAAAACCTCAACTCAGCCCACTCACCCATTTTTAGTATGCTTATATTTAAACTTCATCATTTTATAATAATAATAATTTCGCTGCTGTAAATTGGGAATTTCTCCATTGTGAGACAAATAAAGTTTTTCTTATCTCATCTTATCTTAAAAGTCACAACTTCGGAGAACACTTTCACCTTGAAAAGCACCAGCACCGAGCTGTAAAATATACCAATTACAAAAACTCACGTTAACACAATTATAGAGTTTGTTTATTTTTCCTCCATCCTGGTTTATCCTCCTCCTCCGAGGGGGCGGAGAAGGATATAGAAAGCTGTATTGTATTCACTTATACATCTAGTGGATGTATAGTGCAACTGCAGCCACTATTGTAGCTTCTGTTCTATGCGCCTTAAAATGTGTTGCACCCTATATATGAAAAACAGTTTTAAAATAGGTCATTCATTGAAGGTGCGCCTTATAATCCCAAGCACCAAGCAGAAAATATGGTATATTCATTGGATTCAACGCGCAGCAGCTCATGACGTATTGCCGTTAGAAAATATGAAATTCTGTTTATTCCAAGCAACCAGGATGGAGGAAAAAAAAATATATATAAAAAAAAAAAAATCCTCGTCTCACCCCTCGGGTAGTGTCCGTCCCCCATTCAGCT